GGTCATTGTTATGTTACGTGTCGTTGCTTCCTGGTTGCCCTTGTCCTGATTAAACGTCCTGTTTCCCCGAACCTCCGGCTCCGTGCGCCTGCTTACCCGCTCGCTTACCCGTGGATCGTGACATTTACGTGATATTCGGGAGAAATAACAGATAATGCATCGGAACTTCCTGGGATACAAACGTGACGTTTTTCAGCCAATAAGGGCAAAGTTGTGTCGTCACGGAGGTTGTTCCAGTTTGTTCAGCCGGCTGAGAAGTGCTGTATGATCTGTCTTAAGTCGTCTTGCTCTTGCAAGGTTTTTGTACCATGTGACATGTGACGACGTTTTGCAGCGCCGGACAAAAAAATCTAACCATATCATGAAAAACGAGGTTTAAAATTTTCTACATGAAGTGCAGGGAGACTATCAATTAATGGATATGATTTAGTGTTGTTTTCTGCTATAGTATAGGCTGAAACCTGCGGTTATCGTAAGATAAATAATTTGTGTACGCCAATGAATATTAACAGGAATGTTAAATCTGCATTTGCATAATTTCAAACTTATGCTGGACTTTTATTTTTAATTGATTGCTCTTTTTTCTCCCACAGTGGTGAAACTGCACCATTTGTATTTTGTAATTGCATTTGTTTCGCTCAATTAGAAAAGGGAGTTGTATTTCAAATAAAGTTTGAATCTGAACCTGTGTAGTTTGAATGATTTGAGGCTTGGTGATATGAAGCCATTGGCACATAGTTTTTGTGCTGGAGTAATTGCGAGACAAAGTTTAGAACAGTTATTTAGTCAACAGAGCATTGGCGACTTTTACGCATTATGTGCCTCAGTGTTGTGATGGGGTGAGCGAGCGAACCGGGAAGCAAGCGAAGCAAGCCGAGATTGCAGGCAAACGGGGTTTATTCCGGACAGGACAGAGACACCAACGAACATTAATGACGGATCTGGGGTAACATACTCAGACGCGGACTAAATACAGCAGACAAGCCAAACTAACAAGGAACAGCTGGGCACGATCGGGAAAGCACACGTGGATAATGAGGGGGCGTGGCACACATCAGGAGCGGACGAAGCAGCTAGGGTGTGACACTCAGCACTTGACGACGGTGCTGTTACTTTACGTGGTATGCCACTTTGTGGCTGAGTTTCTGTTGTTCCTAAATGTTTTCACAATAATACCACTTACAGTTGACAGTGGAATATCTAGCGGAGAAGAAATTTTAAAACCTGAAAATTCATGGATTGGCAATGGGTCTGAATGAAACCTTAA